AGCTGACAAAGGAGGTGCAGTGATCATTATCAACCCAGAGACACTAAGGAAGAAGACACTTGAGAAGCTCCAAAACCCGAATATCTATACTGAACTGAAGGAAGATCTCACCCAAACATTACACCATGAGTTATTCCTCAAATGGGTTGAAGGTAAAGAGAAAGGTTTTATCCATCCGATGACTGCAAAAAGTGTCATGGGTGTTTCTGATAATGATAGCACAAAAGAGGGGAAAGATAAGACCAATGCAAAGAGCACATCTTCATATTTCAAGCCAGGAAAAGCCTACTTTTACCCGAGTTTGAAGATCCACAAATTGAAGAGAAAAGACCTTGTGCCAGGCATAGAGCCCCCTGTGAGACTAGTCACTGCACTACAGGAAGGAATAGCAAAAAGGAGTGATGTCTTCTTGGCCAGTGAGTACTTCAAAAATCTTGAAAAGGACTATTGCGAAGACTTACTGACTGACTCAACGGAGGCACTGAGATGGCTTGAAGTATGCAATGAAGTTGAAACAGACAAACGAGCCCTCCGAGCTTTCACTTTCGACTTCAAAGCTCTCTACGACTCATTAAACCCTGAACTTGTCAAGGAAGCCGTTCATCATGCAATGAATACCACCAGACCAGACTGGACACCAGCACTCTGTGATTGGCTGGTCGACCTCGTTGATATCAGTCTAAGATCCTCTATTGGATGCTTCGAAGACAAGTGGTACGTCCAAAAGAACGGAGTGCCTACAGGTGGAAGTCTGTGTGTGCAGTTGGCCAACATAACTGTATTTTATGTAATGAACAAATGCGTTTACAGTAACACTGACATGATGAAGAGAGTCAGGACTGTAAGACGGTACATTGACGATGGTGCAGGTTTCTTCTACAGCACTGAAAGGAAATTTGACCAGTGGATTTCCGATGTAAACAAATCCTTGAAAGAATATGGGCTACTCATTGACGAATCCCAATGGAAGGAAGTTGGCACGCCTGTGGCTTTTCTAGATATCGAGTTTTGTTTCGACCCTGAGGGAAACTTACAAACTGACCTCCATATCAAGGAAACAGATTCAAGGAGCTATCTACATTTTAGCAGTGCACATCCAAACCATATTTATAGTGGAATAGTTTACAGCCAGTGTATCAGACTCAGGAGAATAATCAACTCACAAGAACGACTGGAAACCAGATTGAGTGAATTAAGCCAAGCGTTCAAGGCAGCTGCTTATCCCTCAAAAATGGTGAACAACATTAGCAAAAAAGTTCTCAACTCATAAAGAAACCTTGAACGAAGACCTCCCAAGGACAACACACTGAAGCCAGAGATCCTACCAATAAGGGTTGTCTCAACCTACGGAAGTGACTCTGACATTGTCACCACAGTGAAAAAGTATGAGGAGAACTTAAAGAAGACCAGAAGTTTTTGTAACCTGAGTGACTCAAAACAACAGAGTAACACCCTTGAAGAAAAGAAGAATGGCAAAAAGTTCTTCCAATTTGTCAAGAAAACAGGAAGCAACCTCAAAAGCCGGTTGGTTAAGGTGAAAGAAATAGCTCTGGGGAATAAGCATGGTCAAACAAGGCCGTGTAGAAAGAAGAACTGTGCAACGTGTGAGTCTATTGATAGTGCTACACAAATCAGCATCAATGGGAAACGGGTAAAACCAGCACCAGGTACATGCATCACTTACAACATCATATATTTGATCAGATGTAAACTGTGTGAGAAACCATACGTAGGCAAATCCACCAGAATGCTACGGGTAAGGTTTGGCGAACACAGAAGAGCATTCTACAAGATCATCAGTGGGCAAAAGGTTGACACGGATGATGACTCAAACTGCGTAGGACTCCACCTCCATATAGAGCATGGACTGACTCAGAAGGAAAATTTTAACAATAGTGTTTCAGTGTGTATCCTAGAAAATTCTAGTCCTAGTAGTTTAGATGTTAAGGAGCACCGATATATACATGCCTTAAATTCCCTCCGCCCCTCAGGAATGAATAGTACAAACCCTTTTAAGATTCCTTTATTGCATAATTGATTTTTATTTTGCCTGAGGGGCTTTCCATAAATTATTTTTTTAAATAATTGGTCCTTTTATTGATGTTTCATATTTCACGGCAGTTTCCTTTTCAGAGTTTGAGTTTATATTTAGAAACTAACCATACTATCTTTTAGATTTATGTCACTTATGATGGCTCCGGCTGAAAGTACTATGACTCATTTTATCTAGAAGATTGTAGTTTCATTGCTTCTGAAGTAGCTATCAGTTCGCCGGTCAATGTTGGGTATAATACTCTTGAAATCTGCATAACAGTTAGTGAATATTACATCAATAGTAGTCTGGGTAAAATTGTCTCCACGTTTAGCAACTCTAGTTATCCCTTGAATGGTTTGAACTAGATTGTAACATCTCAAGGTCATATCTAATTTTTTGTACTGGGTGGATGAGATATTATTCTGGTCAATGTTTATATCCCCAATCCAGATAACCTTTTTCCCGTTCAATTTTTTCATGCAAAAATGAATGTACTCAATAAAGTTATCAACACTGCAATAATTTCCAGAGCGATAGAAGCAGCAAACATTGATCTTGCTATTCTTAAGCTTCACCCATAATGCTTCAATGTTATCAAGCTTACTATCCATAACTAATTCTGTGTAAGCTAGTTTTTTGTTTATCATTAAGCCACAACCACCCCTAGAACTGTTTGGCCTGTCGCATCGCATAATGTTGAAGGAGGAAGGAATATTTATGGTGTCTGTGTCAATAGTATCATTAAGATTCATCTCATTTAGGGACAGTATGTCTAGCTTATGATCTCGAATGAGTTGAGTAAGTTCATTACTTTTAGCTAAATTTAGGAGACCACCTTGAATGTTACAGTGACCAATGCAAAGGTTATGAAATTTGTCAGCTGAGTTGTGAATATTTGTCATTTCACAAAACGTGTTAGTCGTTGTGTCTGATTAAACTAAAATCAGGTGAAAATTATCTGCCTGTAAATATTTTCAATAGAAAAGTTTTAAACTTGAAATCAAAATAAATATTCAGGTGGAAATGTCATGTCGATTTCAATGGTGAGCATGGTACTTGATGTGCTTTGCTAGTTTAAAGATACCATCGCTGTTTAGATGCACATTGTCTTCCCCAAATCTACTAAAACAAGATGATTTCCTAAATCCAGATCTATCACTAAACAAAAATCGATTCATCTCTGTGGGTATAAAGCTAACAAACGAGTATTTGGAAGGAATCTTAGATAAAAAGATATTGATGTCATTTATCACTTTATTTCTAGCAAAACTTTCTCTTGGTAAAATGTTTATGATCTTAATTTTTGCAGCTGGAGCCCACGAGTGAAGTGACTGGATCAGATTATCAATAGAGCGATTGGTGTTATCAAGGGCCTTTGCTTTTCCTGTGAACTCATCGGGTGACAATAATCTATTCCTCATGTGTCGAGGACTCTCTAGGATTAAGTCCACATCATTAGTTCCACACATGAGTACGATGGTCTTCACATTATTTGCATCAATTGACCTCTTTCTTTCATCTGAGTGGAAGCGTTCATTGATACCGTTTGCAATGCCACCAGGATAGTGAAATACATGTGCTTCTTGATGAGCAGAGGATAGTTTTGTAGCATCTAACTTGGAGAACATGCTTGAGCTAACATACACAGCAAGGGATTTGCTTTTGACTGAAGCAGGGGGTACGGTGCTCTTATGAATGATTTTGTTGGGTGATGATTTCCCTTTGATTGAGGGTTCAGTTTCTCTTACAGTAACGAAAGGCTTACTTGAGGTATCGAGTGGAGCAGACAAGGTTGCACTGCCATCAATCTGGCGCAGAGTAATGCTAATTCTCATGTCATCAGTATGGTCCTGAATAAGGCTGTGTTCAAAGCTGTCCTGAGATTTTCTGGTCATAATCATTATGTCGCCATGGGAGAGAGTAAGATTGGCAACATGGACTTTGCTTTTAGACCTAAAACTGAGGACTCTTGTTGCTCCTAACGATATGGTGGAAATCATGGAGCCTGGTGATATGGACCTCTCATCATCTGAATGGAATGGTATTCCTTGCTTGCCATTTTCATACTTAGTGATCATGGCGCTGTTAAATTTCAGACTTGGGAACTGTGAGCGTAAACGTTCTAAAATAGACTTTAATAAGGGATTGTCATTTAACGGCCTTGTGTTATGGAAGCCTCCATTGTAGGCATATGGGAAATCCCCATAGTATGCTACAGCCCTATTGTTAAACGTTTGTGTGTATTGTGTTTCCATATCCAACTTGAGAGTATCAACAAACCTGAATACACCTCGACTCAAATCATGATATGGATTGATGGACTTACCCACAACGTTAACACTGCAACTGGTTGAAGATTGTTTGTTAACATCAGAAGAATTCACAAGAGATGGGTTGCTATTAAGTTCAGTCACACTGCTAACTTCACAGTTTTGAGTTTCTGATTCATGTTCAGAGATAAGAACATTGTCCCCGCAAGAGAATGGAACCGCAATTTTGTCATGGCCTGAGCCTTGGGTAAGTTTGGTTAGACGAGCAATTTGTCTCCTCAAATTGTCGTTTTCAAGACTTAGTGATACACAGGTAGAACATTTTGCTTTTGCACTGTTAGGTCTGTCACGAAGGCTGTAATTTCTGATTGGGATACCGGACATAGTTCAAATAAACACAATAATGCAAAGAATTCAGGATAGAGTCTAAAACCGATGCTACTGTTTATAGTTATTTAGTTGTTGATTACAGTACCTTTGCAGCAATTCAGAAGATGGGAATGAGTGGTGTCTGATATTCTTTAGGTGATAGATGGGTGATAGGTAATAGATGGGAGTTAACAGCTCTTAAAACGATGTCTGATAGTCTTTAGGATGTCTTTAAATAAACTATCATGCAACAACCATTTACATCGACATACAACCTGTAATGGTTGCTACATTTGATTGAGGTGTTAATTCCCACTAGGGGTCCTCAAATTATTTGTTATATAGTAGTGTTAAAAGTATTAAAACATATGGGTGAATGATCTCTGAACACCTTCCAATTCAAGGATCAGCGACCAGTTACCATGCCTTGCCATCGGAGCCCATGCCTGCGAACAATACTCTATATGAAGCTTTACCAGTGACTTATAAAACAAGCCCAGCATAACACTTGTTTCCCTCGATATAAAGTCTCTTCAAAAAAGACTGGTGGCTTTATAAAATATTAGGGGCTTCTCCTGGCTTACTTGGCAAGCTGAACTTCACTGGTCTTGAAAACAAGCCAGACAGTTACGGATACATTCAGCTAATCATGCACTACCTCAATATTATTACTGTTAGCTGCATGCTTTGGATACATACCTTGAACGCTGTCCTTTTAATTATTGTCAACCCAAGCTTACTTAACCCTGGGCCTACTACATACCTCAAGGTTGTTTCTTTTAATACGCATGGCCTGATTCCCTTCTCACAGCTACAGTCCGACAATCCTTCTTTTGACAACACTAAAATATTTGAACTCCATCACTATATTCACTGCCATGAACCGGACATCCTCCTGATCAATGAATCTTGGCTTAAAAAGTCTATCATTGACTCTGAAGTCATACCTGAATCGTACAAAGTTTTTAGACTTGATCGTTCCTTACAAACCCATCCACCAGATCCACAGAATCCAAGAAGATTTAGGAAGCATGGGGGTGGCGTTTTAGTTGCTATACGTAGGGACATTGATATTGTATCTACTAAGTTAGAGTACAAGTGCCCGGCAGAGCTTCTTGGTATAACACTCAAATTTAGGGACGGTAGTAAACTAATTCTTTGCAGCTTCTATAGGGTAGGTACTTTAGGGGCCAACAATCATAACGCCTTCCAAGATTATGTTAGGAAGGCAAGGCAACGTAGAGGTGTTAGAGGTATTGTAATTGCAGGGGATCTTAATCTACCTGGTATTGATTGGCAGAATTACTGTAGCAGCAATCCGGTTGAACAGCTCTTTCTAGATACTTTTAGTAACTTTGGTTTAGAACAACTTATTACCAGTCCAACACATACTGGAGGAAACATTCTTGATCTAGTCTTAACCGATAAACCCCATCTTATCTCCGATATAAAAATTTCAGAACATAATATTCCATGTAAGTCTGACCATTTTGCAGTCTCCTTTACTTTGAAATCAAAGGTGAAGCGCATCAAATCGCAAAAGAGGGAATCTTTAAATTTTAAAAGAGCAAATTGGGATGCACTTAATGCAGACCTTGCAGATATTGACTGGCAGGCAGAGTTCACTGGTAATATGGAAACATCATGGAACAAGTTTAAGGAAGTTTTAGAGCAAAGAACCAATGAACATATTCCAAAGATTAAAATTGGAGGCAGGGCTCAACCTCCTTGGTTTGACGCTGAGTCTCATCAGGCCTGCCTAGAAAAAGAAAGGCTACACAAAAGTTATAAAGAAACCACGGACCCTTCCTGCAAGGCTGAGAAGTACTTTAAGTTCTCTAAAAGCAGAAGCGATTTTAAGAAAATTGCCTCCAACAAGATGGCATCTAGCTTTGAGGACGAGGATGATTCGAATCTAATTACAAGAAATTCTGGTCCTATGTAAAAGCAACATCTAAGAATACTCGCATACCTGAACAAATTCACCTAGAAGATGTACACAAAAGTGATCATTCTGACCAAGCAAACCTATTTAATACCTTTTTTCATCAACAGTTCTCATCGCCTAGTGATTATGATGTACATGTTGATAACACACTCACACAGGATGATATTGATTATGTATCTACCCTTTTCAGTTCGTCTAGGATAGTAGATATTCTCAAGAATTTGAATACTAGAAAAGCTATGGGATAGAATCCATGGTGAAGTTCTTAAAAAATGTGCCTTTACGTTAGCCCCAGCACTGGAGATTCTTTTCACAAAGTGCTATGTATCCGGCTTCCTACCTTCAAATTGGAAATATGCAATTGTTGTTCCAGTACACAAGAAAGGCTCCAAGAATGACATTAAGAATTATAGGCCAATATCTTTGACTAGCTTAGTTATGAAAGTCATGGAAAGAATTATTCGAGATGAACTTTTGAGTAGATGTTATGATAAAATTGATCCTCGTCAACATGGTTTCCTGCCTCACAAATCTTGTGCAACTCAGATGGTTGAATTCTGCGATAGCCTATCCCTCTCTCTTAACAAGAACATTAGATCTGATATTGTTTACTTCGATTTTGCCAAAGCATTCGATTCCGTTAACCACGACTTAATACTATACAAGCTAAAATTTTATTATAACATCGATGGAATGCTTCTCCAATTTATGAAAAGTTACCTCTCCGGACGTCAGCAATGTGTAGTTGTTAATGGGGCTATCTCTGCAACCCTACCGGTGTTGTCAGGTGTTCCTCAAGGGTCAATAATCGGACCAACACTTTTTGTTCTTTTCATAAATGATATATATTCTGGACTTTCTCAGGGCACTAATATCCTTTTATACGCTGATGATACTAAAATGTGGAGAGAGATATCCCAAGAGGAAGACCACCATTTACTTCAAAGCGATATTAATTATCTCATGACATGGGCAAGAACTAATAAGATGAAGTTTCATCCTGATAAATGTAAGGTCTTAGCTATACTTAAGAGGTGGTCTCCCTTAGATGGCATTTTACCATTTACACGTTACACTTACTCTATGGGCCAAACTCTTCTTGATTATACAGATTCTGAAAAAGATTTAGGCATAATCATGACGTCTAATCTAAATTTTAATAGCCAGGCCGATGCTCTATATGGTAAAGCTAACCAAAAATTTGGCATGCTTAAGAGAAATTGTCATTTTATTAATGATCTGAACAAGAGAAGAGTCTTGTATCTTACTCTTGTACGCTCAATATTCGAACACTGTCCCATCATTTGGCGACCAGCGTCCAGTAGCACTATCAATAGGCTTGAAGGATTGCAGAAAAGGGCCCTCAAATGGATTCGTAATGATTACGGTGTAAGCTATAGTGTAGAGGAAATCTATAATGCCCATTGTAAACAGTTAAATATTCTGCCCCTAAAGTACAGGTTTGATTACCATGATCTCAAGTTCTTTCATTCCCTAGTGCATCAATACCACCCATGCACCACTCTGCCTCAGTACCTTACTTTCTTCTCCGGGTCAAGCCGACTGAGAAGCTCACATCTTGATCACTTATCAGTAATATCTTCAATTCCACCTGGCTCAGCTATATCTAAATCTTACTTTTATCGAGCTCATCTCACTTGGAACCGACTTCCTCTTTCCCTTCGAGAGATTATCAGACCAGGTGTGTTTAAAACAGAACTTATTAAACACATCTGGAAGGAACATGTTTGTACTGCATCTGTAGATATTGACCCTAGTTCAGATCCTGACAATTCTTTTTCTCCAGACTACGGGTAGTGTATTTCTCTATTATTTTTGTTTTAATTTTTTTTTGAGGTACTCATCACGCATTTTTGCTTTATTCGGATACAATTTTGATTTAGTCTTTTATATTCAATTATTTAAATTTTATCGTTAAAACTTCATTCCATTGGAAATATTACAAATCAGCCAATTGTAATTGAGAATTTTTGGGTTGTGGCAATTATTCTTAAAAACCTAGAAATGCCTCCTAAGTTCACAGCTCATATTATTTGCCCATTTTTCTCCTTCTGCACTTGGGGCCCAATGTAATTGCTCGACTTTTCATCAGGTCTCTCGAGGCCTTTTGTTTGGTTATTTGGGTGTATTGGTGTCCCCTGATTGTTATCATCGCTGTACACTTGTCAAGGCATTTTTTGGTTTCTCTAGTCCATTTTTAGAAATTCTATACAACATTGATATTGTAATAAATTCTGATGATAATAATTGAAAGATTTCAATAAAAAAAATATATTTCTTGTAAGCCAGGCAATGGTTCCATTAGCTTTAGCAATGCACTTTCTCACGTGATCCTCAAACTTAAAAGCACTGTTAAAGACCACTCCAAGGTCTTTCTCGCTGTCAAGTCGACAGACCTCAAAGGCACACCACCGAACAATTACTGATTCTTATGATTACCAAAGCCCATTTGCACGACCATACATTTATCTACGTTAAATTTTAAACACCAATTGGATTCCCAAAGTTCTAAAAGTAGCAAATCAAAAACTTTAAATTCCGACAGACTAATTTTAAATACCCACATAACAAATTATACCCGCTAATGCTAAAACGTAAAAACTTATATTAACCTTATATTAAATTAATAATTTAATATAAAATTAAAAATTTTAACAATTATTACACTTCAAAATACTAAAATAAATGTTCATAGAACAAAATATTTGACTTTACCAGTCGCTTGACATTCATAATCCGCCTACGTGCGTAATTTCACCTAACCATGTGCTACTGCAAGCGCAAGTGCTCTGGATAGAGCAAGGCGTAATTATTATTCCATTAGTAATAAATCAAAATAATTCTATGGCTAAACTCAAAACTGTTGATTAATATAACGATTTCAGCCCTTCCAAATCGTTGCTCTTCTTTGCAAAGCAACGATTTCGTTATATATTAACGATCTCATTCTTGCTTCGATGCGAAGCAAGAACAAAAAATGATATTTTCGTGCGGCGCGTCGAAGCAGCGAAGTCCTCCAACTAAAACTGTTGCGATTCATGATGTCAATCCTTCACTAATGAAGTGGCCCATTGGTTTGGAGGACTTCGCCGTTTCGACGCGCCGCGTGAACTAGCATTCTTGCTTCGCATCGAATCGTCGATCGTTGCTCTGCTTCGCATAGCAACGATCTCGATGGGTTGACATCGTCAACCAACCCATTGGTGTATCTCGCCGATCTAACGGTTGCGAGAAACATTATTTGATTTAAATATGTATAATCATTACTACAGCTACATTTACCTGGGGACCCCAGGCTATTATGTTCATAAACATAGCCTGGCGTAATTGGTAATTGAACCCTCTAATACGAGCAAATAGGTGCGTTTATGTTAACGGGTGA